ATTTACATTAAAATTTAAAAAAGAAATTCATGCATGTGAATTTTTTAAATCACTGTCTACGGTTGCATTCAGAGTGATTTTAGATTTCTAGTATTTGAAAGCATAATAATTTCCCTATGTTTTGCCTGTATAAAATGATATATATATACAAATATATAGACAAATTCAAAGTCATATGTTGATCTTGACTTTACTTACATGTACTTTGATTTAATACTTATACTACAGTATGTTATGTTGTTAATATGCGTGTGTTGTTGTATACTCTGCATTGAGCAGAAGTGGATTAATTAAAATAATAATACTATCCTTCGGCACTGACTCTTGCTGTCCATTGTAGTTTAATGTAATTAACACATGCCATTCAACATACAATTTTTTTTTCTTAATTATTATTATTATTATTATACTATTATTATTGTTATTATTATTATTATAATATTATTTTTTTTTTTTAATACTCTTTTCCATAGATTATGTATCTGTTTATTCTACATGAGGCAGAAGTGGATTTCTGTATATCCTTTAATTAGCACCGTCTCTTGCTGCCTCTTGTTGATGTATCAGACATTTTTTATGTGTTCAGTTATATGTATAATATTAGTAATAGTAATGCACATCATTGCACATTAAGTTGTATCAATTAAGAGTACAGATATATCTTAAATAAAGACAACCTATGTCTACATGTGAAACTCAAAACACCACCAATGTACTAAATGGGAAGAATTGCTCTTCATTATATGTTGTATTCTGTCTGTTATCTTATCTGTAATTATACATGTTATATGTTTATGCCCATTGGGCCCTGATTTGGTAATAAATCCTATTTTATAATAATATAACTAGAATCCCAAACAACTCCTTCTTGTCCTGTAACTTAGTACATTTATAAATCAGTATCATACTTTCAAATTTCTACTATTGTAAATTTAGCCCTGCATGTACTCAGCTCTTACGACCAGCCACTGAGCAGTAAGGGATATTTTTCATGTCAGAAGGTCATCAGTTTATAAGGCTCATCCCAAGGACCGGTTACCATGTCCCGCATGAGGATTTGAACCAGCAAGATACAATGTAAAAGGAGCAACTCCTCATTCTGCATCTCTTGAACAATGCTCTAACCATTGTGTGTCACATGTGGGACTACTCTCTTTATAAATTGAAATTCCATAGATCAATGTACTATACCTCAATACAAAAGGACAGACAGACTGTTCCATACTTTACAATAATTTAAATATAATATGTACATGCAACCATCTGAAGCAGGCATTTAAAACATTTTTAGAAAGCAACAATTATAGTTGCAATGATATTATAAAGGGGCACAATTCCAACAACAATACTTATAAACTAAACCCCTCAAAACTTAATTAGTCTCGCATGAGTGGGACCTCTTCTACAGGTAAAACCGCTATTTATATGTCCTAGCTCCTGTACCTCAATCCAGAAACACATGAATAAATACAGCCCCACTAGTTTCAATGAACTGCACTGATTAGAAGCTTTCAATTAATCCCTATTTATTACACATTCTACTACGATTATTGCCGAGATCAAAGAAATGCCTCGGACATTATTCTCCAATAAATCACGAACGTCATCAAAAAATTATCAGATCAGAAACACATGTCAAATCTGTTCAGTTGAAATAAATATTTTACTGTATAATCTAATACTTATTTAGACCACATCGATGTGTCGTCTTCCGCAGTCTAAACGTGTGTATTGCCTGAAACAGCTGATAAATATCCGTTTTTATAGCCAAGTGGGGCTGTTCTACGGACCTCCCCACAACATTTACACTCCAATGATTTTACTGATAAATCAATGAAATAGACAACTGGTTTTATTATTTTTCATTCATAAAAATTAATCAACATATGTTACAAGCAAATTTATAAATAATTAAAGGATATTTTTAATCCAACAAAAGCTGAAATCGTCTGCATTTTATGCAATCGATTGACCCTTTGGTGTTAAATGGAACAGCGAAATTGCGACATGGTGACCTAATTCGTTTCTCTATAGAGAAAACGATCAACTGTATTTTAGAGCCGTTAGTAGAATAGAAATAAAGTCCTTGTTGTCGTGAATGATGCAGGATAACCTCCTCGGTCTCGAAATGTTGTCTGAAATATAAAAGCCTCGGCTAACGCCTCGGCTTTTAAATTTCAGACAACATTTCTCGACCTCGGAGGTTATCCTGCAACATTCACGATAACGCGGACTTTATTTCTTAATTTTACTATAGTTGTTAAGGTCAAAGAAATGCAGTGGCCATTATTCTCCATTAAATTACAAACATCATCAAAAGATAACCAGATCAGAAACTCCAATCAAACTTGTACAGTAGGAAGAAATTTATGATTTTAGAATATAATATTCATATAAGACCATATTGATGTCTGGTTTTCTCCAGTCTACATGTTGTATATTACCTAAAACAGATGTGAAATGTCTATTTCTATGTCATCTGCGCATGCATTCCATTGCAATATATACATATGCAAACAAACAAGCCGATCCTTTGGGGTTACATGGAACATTAAAATCTCCTAAACAGAAATGACTTGCATAACATAATGACCTAATTTGTCTCTCTATAGTGGAAATGATCCTCCACATTTTTAAGCTGTTAGTAGAATAGAAATAAAGTCCTTGTTAATTGTCATGAATGCTTCAGAATAACTTCTATGGTCTTGCAAGGTTATTTGAAATAATTGAGGCTTTAATACATATTTCAGAACATTTCTCATCCTCTCAGGCTATCCTGTAGCACCCATGAAAATACTTAGCAGATAAGCTAAAATTGACCAAATTACTGCATCTTCAGCTTGAATCTTGAAAATCCCTTATCTTTGGAATGCTGTGCAGATGACACAAATTCAGCTCAGTAAGTGCCCTGGTGGATAGATGTTGCCAGGTATAAAGAGTAGATTCTGTGGCCTGGGTTGGGACCAATATCCTTTTAGCAAGATTATCTCCCTAAAGAAACAAGAGTTATGCCCCTTGATTCAAAGTCTTTAACCATTAACAGATCTAGAAGTACAATGAAGTGAGATGTTCAACTTATATGAAACATTTATAGCTGCTAACATTATCATGTATTGCTGAAATTCATGTTAGCTTTTTCACAATAAAACATAAAATTGATTTAAATAATAGATCAGAAAAAAATGATATAATCTGTACATACTGTACAGTATATTTGTGTGTGCAACAGCAGCTTTAATGTATTAATTACTAATAAAAAAAAAAAAAAGGTTGACAGCAATAAATATTTTCCAAAATAAATTAAATATTACAGTGATTTTTCTACACCCAATTTGGGTCCTTTCCCCTCTTAAAAATTTTCTACACCAAATTTGGGCCCTTTCCCCTCTCAAAAATTACTTGTTCAACAGCGCAAGCGCTCGCCAACATTTCTGTTGGAGGGATACAGAATTTCGGCGAGCACTCTCAAACGTTCACTCTGTTAAACAGGCCTCAGCTATGTTGAAAATGAAATCCAAAGATATGCTCAATATTTACAATTTTCTCAATGTCGAAAAAACAAAATTTGCTTTAATCCTTAATACTCAATTAATTAATGGTTTATTATATTTATTGAATTATCTTAATATAGCTATAGTTGACAATCTAAATTAAAATTAGATGTTCCGAATCCGCTACTGCTTCTCAAACATCTAACAACATCCCATTCGGGGTCACGTCAGAGCGACCTTTCCATTATGAATAAACATAAAAATTTTGGCCAATCAGATTCAAGCTTCTGCATACAATTCTAAAATTAGTTCCACGGATACATCTTAACATTATTGATGCTCAGCAGACTGTCTTACGTTGAATTAAAGTAATTCTGGTATGAATTTAATGTATAGTCCGCCAATCTGGCATTCTTACCTGAATACAAAAATGCACAAACTATACGTCTTTATAAATAATATATCCCGCACATCACGTTCATAATTAATAGCATGGTCTTTACCATGCATACTTTGTTTACTGCGAGACCCCTCGGGCGTTTAGGTTTGGCAGTAAAAAGAGAAACGCATCCGAACTATAAGCCACGATTTCAGAGACGGTGATTTCATTGGGTAATTGAAAGGTCGCTCTGACGTGACCCCGAATGGGATGTTGTTAGATGTTTGAGAAGCGGTAGTGGAATCGTAACATCTAATTTTAATTAGATTGCTATAGGTGATCAAGTTTTATTACAAAATTAGTTGTAAACATGATTCAAGTTCATGTCTATGCATAATTTTATATATTTTAAGATTAGAAATATCACAGTTATCACACAATTTCCAAATTTTTACCAAACTCAGGTTTCATAATGTAACTCGATCTTGGTAATTTCAGTTTTAGAAGCTGTAATATATTTTTGTTTATATAAAAAAGATTTTGGCTGACCTACAAACAGATATTAGAGGAAAACTTAACAAAAAAAATGCTATATAAAGATGGTGAATACATGAAGCTGTATATCTACTGACATCCCCCCCCCCCTTTTCAATTCACAATTATTGTTGATCCTGAGAGTCTGGAGTAACAGTTACGGCTGTAGCCTGCACAAGTCATCACTTGCACAAGTCATCACTTGCTTGTCAAGGAAAATATGGTAGTTGGTGACCTTTTTTTTTTCTTTGCTTGTCAGGGAATTTTTGGTAGTGCCCCCTCAACTGAAAATTTATGACGGTGCCCTCACCTCCCCCCCCCCCCCCCAACTGACGGGCCTGATAAATTAAATAATCTCTGGTTTGATCAATGATTTCTTTTTCTCAAAACATTCTGCTTTGATACGATCCGAAGCGTATTGAAACAGCATCAAATTCTGTCTACATACGTACCGCCAGTTCGAAAAAGAGGTCCTTTTTCGTGATTTTTTCCTGTCCAGGCTGTTGTTTGCCATGATAAATTGTAACACGTGAAATTTTCCCGCAATTTTAGAGTAACCGTCCTTGGGTTCTTCGAAATATCCACCAATCAAAATGAAGGTAAGCATTCGGCGCGGCTCAGCAGTTGGCGTGGTAACATGTCAACAAGCGTGATTCAAACCCATTAGAGCGGAGCGATTTGACTTGTTTATTCAGGTAAAGCTCGATCTTCTTTCATCTAAACTGATTGTACTTATTGTCTGGTAAGTTTGATAAGATATCTTATGGTATCAATTGTTATTTGTTGTCGAGGCCGAGTGCTTGTGTTGTTGTGTTGTGTTTAACCTCAGCTCCGGTGGCGGTGTTCATAATTTGATCATCCATTGTTGTAGTGTTTGTAATCGGTGTATAAATAGGAAAAAATGGCTACAGGTAAAAGTGAAAATTGTGTTCTGATGAATATAACCTTTGTCATTAATACTCAATGGTAAAAATAATCTAATGTATGGTATCTTAAAATCGGTAGAATAAGATATAGGTATAATATATATTAGAACTGTTAGAAAACAAGCTTCTGTAATTTGATAAGTGTAAGGAGAGATAGTTATTGCTATTATTTGTTTTCACACTTGTGTCATCATAACTATATTAAATTTTTTCATGAATCATATTCCACAGGGAGAAACATTTGTATGAGAGTATCTGAGTATGTAAACAACGTCTTTATCAGTGTTTATCTCAATTTTGTGTGTATGCTGAAAAGCCACGGACTGTTTATAAAAATGTTTGATTATAAAATGTGTGCATTGCTGTACAAAATTTAACTGACCATTTAATTACCGGTAATTCAACAGAAGTTAAATGTTTCATTCAGTCTGTCCAATATTGGTACATTAATATAAATAATGTATACATTGGATATGACCAAGTAAATTGTTCTGGGACTTGTTAGCTCATTATGGTCAAAGAAGGTAAACAGGGTTTCCATATTAGCTACAGGGACCAAATATATTTCAACAAATATCTGTTACAAGTCCATGTGTTTTAACATTTTGCACATTGCCCTTTTCTGGCCTTCATTTGAAATTCTTAAAGCTGAGAAGATTTAAAGATGATTCTTTCATCATTATGTATCTAACTGCTTAATTGGGAAAGTTTTTAAAAATAAGAATCTGAGAGGGAATATGGTACAGGTGGTATGTGACACTGGTCAGATTTGTTTTTGAACCAGGTATAGCGACTGGCACACATTAAAGGTGCTTTGGAAAGTTCTGTCAGAACTGGGTTGCCTAATTAAAGGCTTGTTAAATAACTTAAATAGTACAATGAATGTATGCTGTTATTTTCAGTTTATTTACCTTTGTTCCTAGCAACAGGACACTTTACATTCTGATGATCATATATTTTTCTTACGAGTGTTTTTGTATGTGTGTTATACAGTCATGTATATTTTAAAGTCAAATCGTACGTAATACTAGGATTATACAGTTAATTTGTATTTTCAAGGTGTCTGTAGAATAGTAAAAATGTCAGCTCAACCAACAAAGATGGTGCGTGCCACGGCCTGGAGTGACGACGTAGAGGAGGCGTACAGATTCCAGCTGGCTGGCTACAGGGATGCCCAGGACTACGCTGTCTGTACAAAAGAAGAGGTGGGTAACGATGAGCTAGACTAAGTAAAGAAGTGAAGGGGAAGTGCTGATTTATAATTTATCTCTACTGCAAGAAGAGGAACTGGGTTAATAAGTAGTGGACAAATGGTGCAATATTTCTGTATTATTACAAAATATGATACATTTCTCTCAGTAGAATGTATAAAGAGCACCCAGGCATTTACAGAGTAATATCAGCCTGCACTATAAATACCCATGGACTACTTTTGTGTTTGTCACAATATATTTGACGGTCTCTTGATCCATTCTTTACATTTGACATCAAAAATATCCGCAATCTGATTAAAATCATATCTTTGATTCAGTCCGAAATTCTGATAGTCGCTACACAAAGCTTTGTGAAGCAACTATCAGAATTTCAGAGTGAATCAAAGATCTGATTTCAATCAGATTAAAATATCCGTTGAACTGGCAGTTATACTAATGTTGTAAGGATGTTTGTTACCAAAAATTTCTTGAATCCATTCGTATGAATCATAAAAATGTATTGGTACTATCAAAATATACATATATAATGAAAAGGTTATTGCATGAATATCATGAATTATTTCCTATGTAGCTTGTAACACAAGCTTTGATTGTTTATAAAGTCGGGTGTAAATTTCCGTACACCCAACTTGAGCCGGGGGTAAAAAACGTGACGTCACAATGCGTAGTTTCTCTATGATAAAAAGCAAATAACATGGCATCACGATGCATTGTAGGACTTAGTTAATCTTATCGATAGCTTGAAACACAGTTGATTGGACTTGTTTTAAGAATTTATTTGAGTACATAAGAAATAAATTCATTATCCAGGTCCAATCAAGGGTGTACAGGGATTTACCACGGCTTGTATTACATACACCCTTCGTCCTCAAGGTGTATGGAATAAAACCTGGGGTAAATCCCCGTACACCTTTGATTGGACCTGGATAGCTAATAATATGCCCAACCTCAGTCTGCACAAATCCAGACCTTGCAAGCTCGCCCGCTTCACAGCGCAAAGACCTTGGGTGAGCATATTTCATGACATTCAATCAATAATCTAAAAGTAAAGTGTTAGGGAGGGGGCATATTAACAACTGAGAAGGGATAAGGCAATGTCTCTACCGTAGAGTCTAAATAAGGGGGTGTAGTAATGAATAAAGATAGGGCTACATTAAAATGCCTCATATACCAACTAAGGGGAAAGGATTGAAAGTAGCATATCTGAATATGTGGGGCAATATCTCAGCCAAAGGAAGGGATTTGTAATGAATTTTTAAGTGAGTTTTTAAAGTAAAATTACTTGAATAAATGAAAAATATAGTCAGGTATTCTCATTTAATATCAGATGATTGATCAAACTTTCTTTTATCTGTTGAATAACCTGTAAAATATAATAATGTCATAAAATGGAATTTCCTCTTACAGGCTACAAGATGGCCACATAATGGATATATAAAGAAGTTAATTCGTAAAGATGGATGCTGGTATTACTTCAACAAAAGTCGAGAATGCTCCGACAAAGATGTACCCAAGTGCAAATTATACTCTTATTAATGACTGGTCTCTCTAGCTAGGTTACATACAATAATTTTAATTTGTAAATATATGGCAGGTCTGCATGTAAAATCTGGCAAACTTTTTTCAGCTTGAAGTTTTAGAATTGTGTGTGTGAGTGTTTGTGTAATTTATTAAAAATCTCAAATTGCAACAAAGTTCATGAAGTGGGCATCATAATTTTACACATTGTTATCATAACTGTTTGCTTGTATCCATCTTATATATATATATTTTTTTAAGTTAAACATAAACATGTTAAACAGACCAGTATTTTGCCTTGTTTAGGCAAACGGAAGAAAAGTCACAATTTTGTGATCTTACCAAGCACTATCGTGCACGCTTATTATATAAATATTGTAAACACACTTTGTCAAGTTGTTGTAAATATTGTTTATTTATTTATCATTCACAAGACATTCTTGGGTGAGAAAAAAGTTGAGAGAAATATCATCAGCAGTTGAGTGATGCGAGACTTTAGAAAGTGCTTAATTTCTCCAATATAGCTTGCAAAAATATAATTTAACTAATGTTTATAAACTGTATGATGATGAAATACATTGAAATTATTGTTACCATTTATCATATCATTAATTAAATTCATGCAAAGCATGACACAATCAGAACTGTGTTTATTGTTTTAGTGACGGTGCTCTTTTACTTTTGTCCACTTAACAGAGGGCATACATTCTAAGTGATTTGCATGTACCACAGGTGCTTGTGGACAAGTCAGAAATGTTTCATTGGTTTCACCTCCCAGGGCCGTTGCCAGGTTTCTGGAAAAATGGGTTTGATAGGAGTCCCCCCTTCTCTGAACCTGATTTTATATTTTATTTTAAATAATAGGACTATTTTTGAGGATTCTGGTGTATTTGCAATTTTGTAATTATAAAATATCAAATGACCAAAATCTAGCAGCATTTCTTTAAACAGATGTATTATGAATTTTTTTTTTTTTTTTTTTTTTTTTTTGTCAATAATGAAAATTTCGAGTGTTTATTTTTAAAGGGGATGTGATCACCCCCAACCCCCTTTATGAAGCTCTTGCCCCTTCTCTGCAGGTATGTTTAAAGGAGCCACGGACTGTCTCTGAATATAATATGAAGGTAACAAACTGTTATCAAGCTCAAAATTCCATTGGAACGATACAAATTGAGAGCAGATAGAGCAAACACAGAACTCAAAAATATCAGAGGTGGGATCAAGTGTCATGGAGGAGTAAACATCCCCTTGCTGATCAGTCACACCCACTGTGTGCTTCTTGTCATGATCGGGCAAGCGGGAAAATCGTAGACAATTCAGTGTGAAAATAATGGTTAGGCAATTTGTATGAAAAACTTTAGTCAATATTCGACTTAACAATAGATTATATTTGCTAAATAGGTCATTATATCGACCATAGAATTTGACTTTGAACGAGATTGTTGATATCCTTGTATCGTTAACTTATTTGTTAATAGCTTGCCTCGTTTTAGAAATTGTTCGTAGAACATGCTCTTGCATATCGAATTAACTGGGAAACATAAACTCCATTTGCAGGTGATAATGTTTTTATGCCCCCGTAATCGAAGATTCGGGGGCATATAGTTTTTGCCCTGTCCGTCTGTCTGTTTGTCCGCAAAAACTTTAACCTTGCCCATAACTTTTGATTGGTTGGAGCTATGGCTTTCATATTTCACATGTGTATTCCTTTTGTCAAGACCTTTCTTTGGGTACCATCATATCTGACCTTTTGACCTTGACCTTGGAGTTTGACCCACTTTTGCAAAATTTTATGAGACTTTAACCTTGGCCATAACTTTTGAAAAGTTGGAGCTTAGGCTTTCAAACTTCACAGGTGTATTCCTTGTGACAAGACCTTTCTTTGGATACCAACACCTTTGACCTTGACCTTGGAGTTTGACCTACTGTTGAAAAAAACTTTAACCTTGGCCACAACTTTTTAACAGTTTGTGCTAGGTCTTTCATACTTCGTATGTGTACTCCTTGTGACTGACAAGACCTTTCTTTGGGTACCAACAACTTTGACCTTGACTGTGGAGTTTGACCTACTTCAATTTGAGAAATTTTAACCTTGGCCATAACTTTTGAAAAATTAGTGCTGGGGTTTTCATACTTCACATATGCATTTCTAGTGAGAAGACCTATCTTAAGATACCAACAACTTTGAGCCTTTGACCTTGACCTTGGAGTTTGACCTACTTTTGAAAAACTTTAACCTTGGCCGTAACTTTTGAACAATTGGTGTTAGAAATTTCATATTTCACATATGCATTCCTTGTGACAAGACCTTCCTTTAGATATCAACAACTTTGACCTTGAAGTTTGACCTACTTTTGAAAAACTTTAACCTTGGCAATAACTTTTGAACAGTTGGGGATAGGACTTTCATATTTCACATGTATATACCTTGTGACAAGACCTTCCTTTGGATACCAACAATTTTGGCATTGACCTTGACCTTGGAGTTTGACCTACTTTTAAAAAAATTGAACATTGGCTATAACATTTGAACGTTTGGTTCTAGGACTTTCACACTTCACAATCATGTGTATCACTTGTGACAAGACCTTCCCTTGGGCACCATTTGACCTTGAACTTGCCGTTTTACTTACTTTGAAAAATCTTTAACCTTCGCTATAACTTTTCAACGGTTTGTACTAGGGCTTTTGTATTTCACAGGTATATTCTCGAGACATGCAAGACCTTTCTTTTTGATTTCTTGACCTGGAGTTTGACTTGCATTTGAGAAACTTTAACCTTCGCCATAAGCTGCCATACGGGGGCATCAGTGTTTCACAAACACATCTTGTTCAAGTTGTCAATGAAACGAGTACGTTGCTGAAAACATTCCTACTTTAATATCAATGAAATTCAATACCATTTTTGTATCAGTATTCTTTTTAAATACGTGCAATTTTCCCAAGTCAGTTAAAAGTCAGCAGTACATGTATAAGATGACTTAATTATTTGCATCGATGATTTTTTTTTTTCAATGCATGGGTCCACCTGTCTTTTGTATTCTTATGAAGCAAAATTTATTCAAAAGCTTCTAAAGGTCTGCAGCTTTCAATTCAACATTTCCATTCAAGGAATGAGTTTAATAGGTACCAAAGTTATACTATATAAAAACCTGAGTTGGGACACTTTATACGCTTTATAAGCTGCAAATTGGTTTATAATAATTGTATAACCGCGGCTGTTCCAACCCAGGTTATAAAAGTACATGAATTGTATATCTTTGGAAGTTGTTGAATTCATTCCTTAACAGTGTACATAGGTGTCGGAACGGGGGGGGGGGGGCTGAGCTCAATTTATTTTGCAAAGATAGACATAATATAGGCATATAAAATTGGGGCTTAACCCCACCCCACCCCAAAACTTTTTTTTGTTGGTTTACCCCCCCCCCCCCCCCTACAGCTGACCTTTTATGATGAGTCATAGTCGTAAAATAAAACAAAAACGAGATTTTAAAACTGAAAACTTCAAGTTTTAATAGCTTTTTTAATAGTCGCATAACTCATTACAAATAATATTAATTTGTTCTTTAATCGATCACAGGAGTTCGCGTACCTATCAATTTAACCGAAATTTTCAGTAAATAAAAAAAATACATTATACCTATTACGTATTTTTTTATTTACTGAAAATTTCGGTTAAATTGATAGGTACGCGAACTCCTGTGAATCGATGCAAAACTAGGATTTCATTTTCGATCTGAAAACATGTCTGGATATGGTTAAAAAAAAAAACAATATACATTATACATGTACACAGGCAATGGGTACTAGTATATCAGGAAGGGGGGAGGCAGCGGGACTGGCTCCACCTTTTCCCAAACATAATCTTTTACTAAAATTTAGCATGAAAATGTACGTTGAGAGAACCCCATCCACTTTTTGTTGTAGTATAGTCAAATCTGCCCATGTTTTTTTTTCTTTGTTTGAACCTTGAACCTACCCCCCCCTCCCCCCCCATTGGAGTTTGGCTTCGCCTCGCCAGGTATGAAATTTACTAACCAGGTATCATCCCGTACCCTGTCACTACAAAACTATGTAACTAATAATACCACAGATACTTGTTGACAGGACCCCCCTCCCCCGATATTCAACCCCGGGGCTCGCTGGACATTTTTTCACAAATTATATCTATTACACTTATTCATCAAATGTACCATAGGAAAAAATCATGAAAACCCCAAAATAATCGTTCCACACAAAAATACCCCACTATACATTAAAAAAGAGATCTCTCTTATAATGTATAATGGAGGCATTTTTTGTGTGGAACGATTATTTTGGGGTTTTGACGATTTTTTCCTATGATACACAATGACATGATGAATAAGTGCAATAAATATAATTTGTGAAAAAATGTCCAACGAGCCCCGGGGTTGAATATCGGGGGAGTCCTGTCAACAAGTACCTGTGGTATATACATATGTAGTTGAGAGGGATAAAATTTATATTATTCAATCTCCGAGTGTTTACAATAAAATAAATACAGGCCCGTACAAAGTTTTTCAGTAGGGCGGGACGGGGGTACAAGCGAACAGAAATTAGAGACATTCTTTGATACCCCCCCCCCCCCCAAGACAGAAGTTATTATTGAGGGAACACAATTCTAAATTTAATCTGTTAAATCTAATTTTAGTATATTTTTGCAAAATTATTGAAAAGGGGCATGCAGCCTCCAGATTTTGTATTTAAACCCATCCAGGTTTTTTTTTTTGAAAAAAACACACAAAACATCTCATATATTAAAGGCGGTCTAAGCCAGAAACATGAATACACGTAAACCTTTTCCATACATGTCCGATCATCATTCGTTTACTTCGCATGGAAATTATTTTTTAAAAAGGGGGAAGGATTCAAATTGAATTTCAGGTTAATTTCCCGAAACATTCTAAATTCTTTATCAAAAAGTCAAAATTCCTCACAGTTATATCTTTCATACACAACATGGTATATTGAAAAAGAAAACATTCACCATTACTAAAAAAGAAGAGAAAAAAAAATCCTTCTTTCATGAACATTAACATATGCTCAATTTTACAAACATGTAACAATTAAGAGTTCTCGTTTCTGGGTTCCAGAGTCTCACAGAGCCACGTTTACTTTAGGAGTCTGGGATGAGCCTGCCACAAATCACACATTGGAAAGTCTGCGACCAGCAATTGATAACGTATCAAAGTCAGACACAGAAGTGACCCCTTTCTTTTTACTGTGAAAAAAAAAGAAACAAAGTTTTATTCAAAAATCAAATCATCATTTAACAACTCTTAGATTATTCATCCTCATTGATGCTTGGCTTAAAGTGCAAAACGAACACGACAAAGTGAAATTTTGTTTTTTAATAATTACTTTTTTTTTATTAACAGTTATAAATTTTGATCTGAAAAATAAAAAATGAATAAAAGCCTTCACTTTTTGTCGATATTATGCAATTGTCCAAGAACCCTCTCGTTTTTTTTTTTTTTTACTTTAATTTCTAACTATAAAACAACAACTGAAGTCTAAGGTAAGTCTTATTTTTTTTTCTTATGTACACCTCTAGCTGAATTTGGTCTTATACACTGTGATATCGATGTCATTCGCTGATTTTTACTTGAAAATTAAAACAAGTGCACATCTCAGTTTTCAAATAAAAATTAGTAAACGACACATAAAAATACATGATCTAGGTCCAAGTCCTCAGTAGCCTTTATTATCGGCAGCAGCAGCGGCCGATCTATTTGTGGATGTGTTAGAATGTCTTCGTTGGAATAAATCCTTATTGATAACATATATAAAAGTTATGATTAAAAGTTTTAAAAATTTGCTTAATACTAAGTCTAAATGGTTGTTATTTTATTTCAATTTGTTTTTCTTTTCTCGTCAGATATTTATTGATTTAATGATTTTACAAAATGTTGTTTCATGAACTGCTCCCAAATATGGGCCTGTGTAAGATAAAAAAAAACAAAGGGTATTTGGTATCCGGATATGAATTACAATATGAATTACAATTAATAAATTGGGATAATTAAATTATTCAATACACTGCAGTTGCAAGTGACACAATTTTTTTTCCTGCACTTTACATACATGTATATCTATCACAAAACTGATCGGCATTATCACGTGACAAAGATCCAGGGTATGTGCACGTGAAGTTTGTACGTCCTTTTTTTGTCAGCATTCATAAAAAGTTATTTTAGATATTTGTTGCATTTGTCCTTGAATAAATTAATTTGATGACAATACATTCCTATCCTTTACCACAGTCCGATTGTCATATCAATGAATTTATTTTTTGGATAAATATTTAATAATTGATCACTGAAAATTATCAAGTTTAAAAAATGTACAGAAAAGTAAAGCAAGTGAAAAAATGTATCAGATACTTTTTCTACTTGGATTTTTTTTCCTTTGGACTCTTTCTTGTGGAAATACTTCAATGTGATGAATATATTCTTGCGGCCGATTAATTTGATGTTTTGCATCAATTTAACTTAAATTGTGACTATAATGTACTATGTTTAATTTTTACATTGTGTACAGATCTATACTTACAGCGCTTACTAGGGATCCTTTTAGTGATTGACCTTGAAGAATTTGATTCAAGGTCACAAAACAACGACCTTGTCCACGTGACCCAGATCACGGTAATGACCTTCTATATATTGTTTAGGCCTGGATAAGAATTTCATACAAGAAAATACTACATAATTATGACACAAATTTTGTCCAAGCTGGAGAGGATCAAAAACTAAACACCACTCTGTTCAAATAATAATGAGATACTTTATATATACAATATATGTACTAGTATATATATATATATATATATATATATATATATATATATATATATATATATATATATATATATATATATATATATATATATATATATATATAAACTATTACGTATAGATAGGAAAATTTTGCCTTTATATTAGCATTTATTTGGGGAATATTTTTACCCTGAAAACTATTTTCTATGTGGATGTAGAGGTATAACTTTTTACAACAATAAATTTTTCGAACATGCAGCTTCATAAAGGAGGCAAATGTCCTTTTTTCGTCCAATACAGCAAGCGTCCCATGCATTTTCATTTTGTAAATTTAGCACCAGTGACCACGGCTTTGTCAAATAATGCTGACCAACGGTTCGTGAAACAAAATGTTGTCGTAATCTAGAACTGTTTGATCAAGTTCGAGTTAATTTCTAGAGCCGATGGTAGAGCATGTAAAGTGAATTTTAGCAAGAGTTATTTCCCGTTGGTCGCCATATTGGAGGCCAATATCATTAGCATTCTAAACTTGTCATACTAGGCAATGATGTGAAGATAAATTTTTTTCTTACGAATATATGTTTGCAAAAGCTTCTTTAATTTATAATTTTAGTATTAATTTTTAGAAGATTTTTTGCCCTTATATTTCTGCCATGCATGTTTAAGGAGGCTGGGGGGTCAACAAATTTACCACAAATTAACCACCAGATTTAACTTATTTTTTTTAGATGTGATATCTTAAGCTGTCAACTATCATTTGGCAAAGAAAAATTTCAAAAATTTTAGTTTTAAAATTTGATCATTTTCTATATCTTCATATGGAGCTCTTCTTCTAAAGGAGATAAATATAGTCTAAAAATGCCCCCCCCCCCCAACCTCTTTAAATTGACCTCCCAAGATAACAGCCAAGGCAGATAATTCCGAAGGAAACTGTTTTTATTGTTTATTTCAAGTTTTCCTTCTCAAGAGACTTTAAAAAAAAATGTTAGAATCACTTGTGCAGTTGCCATGTGAAGTTTTTGCTTACCAACACTGCAATATATGAGAATGATACATCGATGAGGGGGGGGGGGGGGGTTCACATGGATCTATTAAATGAATTAAACATCACTCCTGCTGCAGTCCTAAGCAGTGTTTAACATCTGGTACTTGAAGTAAATGTTGTAAAACGTAAGGAAAATTACACCTACTAAAGAATTTTCAAGTACATGTACATATATGTGTACATCAGAGGTGTATGTATATAACATCCACTCTTGATTCCTTTCAATTTTCTATGATATTTAATCAAAGGAATTCTTCCTGTAATAACTAAATCAACAACTAAATACATACTTTTCTACATTTAATAATATTACCTACATCTCCAAGTAAACATACATTACAAAGAGACAAAACATTCTACAGAGAGAGAGAGAACACTAATTCACTAATGATTATAATTAATGAATTAAACCATAATGTGAGACAACAATACAAAAATACTTATATCCCACTTTATATCACATTTAGTGGACACTTTGGCACTTGCAGCTGAAACAGAAAGGCGGGGCTGGGTACTATACCACAATATGCAATGATCTAAACCCACATAAAGTATAGGTGATCAGAAAAAAAAAACCAAGAGTGTTTGTGCTACATGTAATTACATTTTAAATTCCTTGTTTCCAATCTTAAAAGCAGTGCAGGTTTTCAAAATCCCAAATACTCCACAGAGTGCAATATGTTTGCAGCAAATTAATTTTTTAACAAAATTAACATTTTGATTCCCCATAATTTTTTTGCAAACAGTAAGCAAATACAAATGAGATTTGAATTTCTTAAAGTTAGAAAATTCTGACTAAATCCAGTATGACAGTGAATAAGTTATACTAATTTCATTTCTTTATCAACATAAACTCTCTCATGAATTAAATTTGGTTCTAAATTTAAAGAAAAATATATATAAAATTCTAAATGGAGATTCAATTCCTGACATGTACAGTCAAACCTCGTTATCTCGAACTTGATGCGACCGAGAAAATACTTCAAGATATCCAAGTATTCAAGATATCAGGGGTCAAATACATAAAGAATACATGTTTGGGACTTCCCAATCACTTATCCATAGTATTCGAGATACCGAAGATTAACTGTAATAAGTAAATGTATGTTTCCAATGAATTAAAGCTTTAGTAAGTAAATGAAGATCATTGACATTTTATAAAAGTACTAATGTCATAATAAATCAACTTTTAACCAGAACACTAGGAACTGGTAAAGATATTTAACAAACACAGAAAAAAAGAGCTGACCTGCAGGATCAAAACCGGACGTCCATTTAATGAACAAGAGTAAAAAGTCCACAAAGATTAAAAAATATTTAACAGTACATTGATTGTGAATATACATTTATCAATTCTTGATATTCCTTCTTTTTTTTTTCTCTCCATTTTCCCCCCTAAAAATCATGGTTTGCTTGATATATATGGAATATTTTTAAGGGACAACTTAAGCATGACAAGCTGAAATACTGTAAGATTGTGAAATGCTATGCATTCACCGAGTGAATTTGTAAACATAGAGAAATACATCCAGACACATGGATGGTATTGGAAATCTATGTACACACACTTCTGCCTGTTAAAACTTGGTGGTTAACTTATCAATTCCTACCAATCTTAATTAGTCTGATACTAGAATGGCAAACTCTGTCTGCTTGAATTTCTATCATTGTGTTCCCATTTATAATTCAATAATATGTACTTCAATTCGGTTGTTCAAGACTTTTTGTATTTGGGATTCGTAATAAATAACATTTGTATTTCTTCCCTCCTGTTTTATGAACATCAATTAGTGAGTGATTGGTTCATATGAATATATTTTTATTTGCAATCTAGAGTTACCAAACTTCATTGTAATTAAAAAAAAAATTAGTTGTAAAAAAATCAATGTTTATTGTACCTGTTATTTTAAGTACTGTTTAATATTTTATACAACCTAACAGCTTGTGAACTGTGCCATTGTCTAAAACACAATAAAAAATGACTAACACCCTATGTCAAAGTTAATGTAAATATTAAATAATTAAAAGGCATGATATCCTAAAATATCAAAATATTATACATGTATAAACAACAAGCATAAAGTTTATATCTAAAAAAAAAAGATTATAATAACCTCACATGTCATAAATTACTATTGCAGATGATGTTATATATTCAATAATGCCACATTCAACTTTTATAAAAAAATAAATAACTTTTAAATATATATCAAAACATAATTAAATAGTTCAGCAATTCAATTGCTACAGTGGACACAACTCGACAACTTTTTGCTACAACACTGTTACAAGTAATAAAATGTCTATCGTTGCTAGTGCAGACTTCACCCTGTGAATCATGTGATCAAGTGTGTGTGAGGTCACATGCCAATCATGTGATGCTACCTGGGAGACTTGGGAAATATGGAGGTTCCCTGATCTAGGACTTTGTTTGTGACAGACTCTATGAGGGACATGGTGATCATACAGATGGGGTATGACTGGGGAAGTTTCTTCATCACAACCGGGACTTGAACAAAATATCTGTGAAAATGAAAAAGTACAATTTAGATTGTGCATAAAAAGTCATAATTACATATGATTATTCTGATTCATCAAATATTATTGATAAATTCTTCACAGAAAATTTGTTGGATTCATGTACGTACATGTAGAAATTTTTGGAATCTTGATGAATAATTTAGAGTAGCCTATCAAAATTACACATTTACATGTAATTCTTAAGCAGTTCTCACATATAGAACAAACATTAAAAAAAAAAGATTTGTAAGAAATATTTTACTTGAATTCCTCTAGATAGTGGCTGCGTATAAAAGCCGATATCTTAGGACTGTAATGTAAAAAGGTCTGCAGTACAGAAAACTGTACATAGAGCGTGACAGCTTCCTGTGGCATCAGCGCATCCTTCCGACTTGGTCCAATGAACTTCATCATCTGGTCAATCACATTCTCTACAAAGGCCTCCTGTACACAAAATAAAGAAGGTTTTTTTTGTTCATAAACATTAATGCCCACATTAACATTAATGTCTCAATAGACTAAACTGAATAATCTTAAATGATAGCGATTTCTTTCAATAATGAGAGACTACTGGTCCTAGAAGAATTTAAACTGTCTTTGAAATTAAGCCTTGATGCAGAATCAGAATTGGGTTCTTGATTATGAAATTGTTTTTAAGTATATGGAGGATAGTAACTGCCCCAAATATTGTGACATTTCAATCACACATAACTGCTTAATAATGCTATTTAGAAAACCAGCAACAATAATAGGTCCATGGGCCACATCGCTCACCTGAGCATTTGGCTAGGAGGTCAGTATTTTATAAGTGGTATCACCTACCCCTAAGGGGAGGGGGGATGATTTGAACAAACTTAAATCTACACTAACTGAGGATGCTTCCATATTTCTTTGACAAATCATGGCTTAAAAAGATTTTTAAAGATTTTTTCCCCATAAGTTTTATCTTCTATTGTGGCAATGCCCTACCTCCAAGGGACAGAATCTTTGCTGTTTCTGACAAGACTTTTAAAGATTTTTCCAATGTATATCTATTTAAAACCTTGATCCATTGTGGCCCCATCTTACCCCTGGGGCCATATGATTTGAACAAACTTGAATCTACACTATGATTCCATATGAATACATATATGACCAATCATGGCTTTGCTGTTCTTAACAAGAAGATTTTAAAAGATTTTTCCTATGTTTATCTATGTAAACATTCGGTCATCTATTGTAACCCCACCCAACTCCTAGGGGTCATGATTTGCACAAACTTAAATCAACACTACCTAAGGATGCTTCCATATAAATATGTTTAATCATAGCTCTGCTATGCTTGAGAAGAAGATTTTTCCTATGTATTCCAATGTAAATTTTTTATCATCCATTATGGCCCCACCCTATCCCCGGGGGTCATGATTTAAACAAACTTGAATTTACACTACTTGAGGATGTTTCCACATAACGACAATGACAACACTGACGACAGACAACGTGCAAATTTTGATCAGAAAAGCTCACTTGAGCCTTTGGCTCAGGTGAACTAAAAATTCAAACAGAGATAGAATTGGGAGCCTACAGTCATTCTCATCTCCTCCATAGTCTTGATGACCCAGCTGATGTTGAAGAAGCTAGCTTCACGGTTTCCCCAGTTTGCTTGTCGAGCCATCAGAAAGATCTCAAAGAGCGCCAACAGTGCCGACTTACGGAACTCATCTATCTGCTTCTTTATCTGTGATAAAACAAATTATTATACCTCATATAAATAATCATTAGTGAAATAGAATCTGATTGGCCAAGACGGTCACGTGACTGTCATGTTTGCCCTGCAACAAAAGGTTTCACGTTGTGTTTCACGATTAATTGCGACGTCAGAATGCGACTACTGAGATGATTACTACTGTTTATATCGTTGATTGATTGTGTTGATTCAAACATGTAAAATATTAATTTTTTTTTTTCCATGTGTGGGGTTTTAATGTTACTGGTGTGTAAATTACACTGACTTGTCACGAAGGAATGTTTTTTTATGAAGCATGACTATTGGTGTAACTTGCATCTGTTTCATATTGTTTAATGTTTACCGTATATACTCGCCTATAAGTCGGTCCGCCTATAAGTCGGTTGTGATTTTTGAGGTTATTTTGGAGAGATTTGCCATTGACCCGCCTATAAGTCGGTACAACTTTTTGCCAGAATCGGTGGACAATTTCAAATCAATGCTCTAATTTTTTAACATGTGTTTCAAATAATATTTTGAGAAATTACGCCGATATTTTATCTCTCTCTTTTTCTTCTCTTATAAATTTCATATCAATACTCTAATGTATTTACCTGTGTTCAAATAATGTGTTAGGATATGACATCGGTAATTAATATTTTTATTTTTCAACAAATTAAACCACTATCATTTTAGTTTTCTTTTTATATTGTTTTGTTTAAGCGTTAAATCCCTTGTCTTCTATATTTTATACACCGATCTCGATCATAGGCGGATCTCGGTCTCTTTGGCATGGTGATGAACTATATGAACTATATAACGAGTCTATCAACGTCTTGATGATATTTGATTAGGAGGTGCTTAATGTCCAAGCCATATCTATAGTTTTTAATAACGCTGTGTTTGATCTATTCTTGGCAATTATTGTCTCTTAATTACCTGTATCCCTTACCTGACACCGTGTTTATTTAGTGGCACGCGCCCCGAGAAAATTGTGTACCACACTTGGGAAGCATTTTCATAAACAATCGAGTTTTAATAGACTTCAGAATAATATTCTAATATTCTGAATTAGTTTTAAGAATATTTTATCTATTGTCAAAAACATTGCAGACGGTACATATAATTATACATTAATGCTGAACGTATTATATCGGGTTCGCAATTCAATTTTACCGATAAAACGATAGATCTACAGTAAGTCTCAAGTTAATTAAAGGAATATTTTTGTTAATAATTAATCAAATAAATAATATACACTTGAGATCAAAATAAAATCATTAAAACATGTAAATACTTGTATTTTATATATAATCTTAGAATACATAAATAATATAATATGTCTAGTAGATATTTCTCAACGATAATCGTCGATGTTATGTAAAAAATACTACATTTCGTCATCCAGAAAAATACCAAGCATTTGATGACTCGCCTATAAGTCAGACATAGAGTTTTGGACCAAATGTTAACTCCCAAAAAACCGATTTATAGGCGAGTATATACGGTACTTTATTCATTGGATTTTCTGTATATTTCCTTTTGTGCTTGATTTGGTATAATAAACAATTTATTGCATGAATGTTCGGGAGACATGAAGATTTCTTCCCCCATGAAAAATCATATTCCCCTCGGGCGTTGCCCTCAGGGAATATGATTTTTCATGGGCGAAGGAATCTTCATGTCTCCCTCACTATCATGCAATAAATGTATAATATAAAATGTTCACACTAACAGGATGTTGTGTTAAGCAGCATCATTTATTCATGATTCCAATGATTTTAAGTTTAATCCTAATTTTTCCTGCCGACATCTTTCCCTACCTCTTCGTCTGTGGCCTGTAGATTCTGGGTACTTTTGGATGGGGCAGCCATTTTCTCAGGTACTTCTGGGTTACATATGAGAAGTCGAATGAGATCAAATATAGCCTTACCCCTGGAAGCAACAAAAAAAAGGTTGATATGTCATTGCATGCCAATTAGTCGAAAAAAATACATTGTATGTAAGTATTCTGACTTTGAGAAGAATTCAAAATGGATATTAAAACAGAATATAAACAAACTACATGTAACATGAGTTTTTCTTTCATCAAAATTACATGTAACATCAAACTACAGTAATTGCTAGTATAATACATATACAGTTTTGTACTTGTTTTATGTATAGCAAACAATGAATGAACAGAGTCATTTCAATTTTCACCTTTAATTGTCAGCTTTATGAGTCTGATTTTTTACCTGGATTACATATCTGTCGGCTTTAAGAGTCTGAATTTTACCTGGATTACTTACCTGTCAGCTTTAAGGGTCTGAATTTTATCTGAATTACTTACCTGTCAGCTTTAAGAGTCTGAATTTTACCTGGATTACTTA